TTATAATTTTAAAAATCAGAAAAATTAGATTTTTGTGAACTATAAAGAAAATTTTCTTCCTAGACTACAAATGCCATTGCTTGTTTTAAACTATCTGAGTTTCGTAAACTTACATTTTTGTAATTTACCTTTAAGGCCGTGCATAAATGTTTTTAAAGCCAAATCGTTATAATTTTGAAGTCTGACGCATTTTTCTTCAGGTGATTAAGTTGACGCATTTATTTTAGATACAATAAAACTTCAAGAATCTTGGCAACGCATTCCAAAACGACATGGGGATTTACTTTTAAAAGGATATAAAGCAATTAAATCTTGTACATGACAGTCCAAATTTCTCTGATCACTAAAGCTTATTATTAATAAATTTTTTATATCTATCTAAACAATTAATTCACTACGGGAGCCTATTAAACTCAAAGCTCTGTAAGGTTAATTTTCCCATAATAGCTCTTAAAATATAAGCAATTATTTTGTCGATCAGACAATTGTCCAATTAAACTTTCCCAAGTATCTAAAAACATCAAAATTTGGAATAGTATCTACATATAATTGCAAAAGCGGATAATTAGTTTTAACTAGCATGTTTGAATCTGAACTCTCTGAATCCGAATTTTCTGAACTTGATTCTTCTATAGTGGATAAATTATCTAAAATTAAAGAGAAATCTGTTCTAAGAGTACTGTTAAAAATATTTACTTATTCGTCTATCATAAACATAAAATATGATAATTTTATTTCAAAAATTAAAATTAAAAATCACTAATATGTTCAAATAAAAAAATTTAATGCTTGCAATGAAAGGAACACAAAATTTCTTACATAATTCCTATGATTATTTTCGTCATATCAATAAGGTCAAGTGACTTTGACAATATTGATCCTATGCTTAGATGTACACTTTTCGGTCAGTTAATTTCACCATTTTTGCCGTTAAAATAGACCGATTTTGCACGATTTTTGTTGTTACACCGTTGAGTAATCCTATTGACTACGCCACATTTAGTTTCGCATTTGGTTTTTCAAAAAATTACAAAAGTTTTACGAAAAGCACAACTTTATTTCATGTCTAAACAATACAAAAGTTAAAATGTAAAAGCTAGAAAATGCCGGCAACGAACTGGAGCCTTATCTTGGAATTGCAGTATCTGCATAATTCTAGTTGTATTTGTTATGACTGTGTTATCATAACTACCATCAATATATGAAGGTACTATTTACAAAAGCACTGTGTCTCAAATTTGTAGAGGGCTATCCTACTGACTGCGCCAGTTATATACATATTTTTATAATTGTAAATAATAAGTTCTGGTAAAAATACAATACGGTTTACTTGTAAATATGGCAAAAAACAGATAAGTGAACATGTAGAACATAATTGTCTGAACAAATCAACAATGAAAAGTATGAGAACTGTAATTTAAAATTAAAAATAAAAATAAATCGTATAATTTACCTATAATAGAGTTTATTAATATTGTTTAATTAATCTAATAGGACTATTCAAAATAGTTTTAACAGGGGTAAACACTTTAGTATTTTTTAATTTGATCTAAAATTATTAAACTGACTTTTTTTCTAAAACCGAAAATATTAGATAAGTAAAAAAGTTGTTAGAAATAAAGTATACATAATATTAATTATTAAAAATAATATTTAATTTGAAGTTAGTAATGTTATATTAAAAAAAATTGACTGAATGAAATTATTTTTATATCACGCTATTTAAAAAATAATGGCATTTATTCTCACCAAAACTGACTAGCTCGACTTTGACATATGACGTAAAAGTGTAATGAAAAAATGCACACACTCTGAGTATCGTCATAGCATATTTTCTTTATTCTTACTTAATGATTGGAAACGTACGTATGTCCCGCCCTACTTTTTGACGTCACGCCTTATTTGTGCATCATGCACAAAATAGCGTGGTATTACGCAGTCACATTATTTGTTTCACGGATCTGTTGACCTCTCTTTTTATTTACAGACATTTGCGGAAACCTCTGGTGCTCAATGCATAGGGCACTGACAGAGAGGCTACGCCAGAGCGCAGTGGTGTACCAAAACAAATAGAGATTAACATGTTTAAAAATAACAAAAATATTAAAATTAGGTTTTCATTTATTTATTAAACTGGGTATTCGCTATACAAATAAACCAATAGAAAATTCGTCCCTGCCTGAGATATCAATATTTTTTAAAATAATAATTCACGGAAAACTATAACTTTAGGCCAGTGGTCGCCAACCTGTCGATCGCGAGCTACCGGTAGCTCGTGGAGGCAATTCTGGTAGCTCTCACAACGATTTTAATTTAAAAAATACAAACTGCAAAAATCAGAGAAGCTTCCGAAAATTCAACAAAAAAATCTAATTGTCATAATATTAAACATAAACAGCGGCAACGTTGCGGTGAGCGATCTGCCGCTGACGCCATCAAGCTAGAATCGGCTAGAACCGACCAGCCGGACCAGCGCGTTAGTGTTCGAGGACATCATAAAACTGTACATTCTAATTTTGAAAAATCATTCCCACTACATTCTGCCGCCAGAAGGGAGAAACTGAAACTGTTAAAAAAGCAGTTAATTGAACAACAATCAATATTTTTAAGAACAGTCGACAAAAATAAGGCTGCAACTGAAGCATCGTACCGTGTGTCCCAGATAATTGCACAAAAAAAAAGAAACCTTATGAAGACGGGGAAATGATAAAACAGGCGTTTTTAGAAGCTGCTGATTCGTTATTTGCCAACTTTAGAAATAAAGACGAGTTAGTTTTAGCTATAAAATCTATGCAACTTTCTGCTAATACAGTGATGAGACGTGTATAAGTAATGAGCAATGCTATTTTTTTACAGTTAAGAACTGACTTAGATAACTGTGTTTAATTTTCACTTCAACTGGATGAATCAACAGATGTCGTTGACACTGCCCAGATGGGCGTGTTCGTCAGGATGGTTTTTAGTGATTTTACGATTAAAGAAGATCTTTTGAAGTTTATTCCACTGAAAGGACACACTACTGGACAGGAGTTGTTTTCTCATTTAAAAAATATTATTTCTTTCGAGAAAATTCCAATATCGAAAATGGTAGGCTTGACAACCGATGGCGCTCCAGCTATGGTGGGTTGTGATAAGGGTCTGGTGACGTTATGTCGTAAAGGTGAAACTTTTCCGCAATTTCTCTGTTACCACTGCATTATCCATCAGCAAGCATTATGTGGAAATTTCCTGAAACTAAACAACGTTATGAAACTGGTGGTAAAAATTGTGAACAAGATTGGAGCTCAAGCGTTACAAAAAAGATTATTCAAAACCTTGGTCGATGAGGTTGACTGTCAATACGGGGACCTACTCCTTCACTCTAAAGTTCGATGGTTAAGTAGAGGACGGGTGCTGAAACGTTTTAATGATGTCCTATCTGGCATAGTTCAATTTTTCAAACAACGCGATGAACCGACTCCGGAACTACAAAATTCAATCTGGCTTAGAGATTTTGGTTTTCTCGTGGACATTACAGAGAAATTAAACGAACTTAATTTGCAGCTTCAGGAGAGAGACAAAGAACTAGCGGAAATGATTTCTGATATAAAAGCATTTATCAAGAAGCTGGAGTTTTGGGAACAAAACCTAATTAACAGCGATGCCAAGCATTTTCCTATTCTTTCAAAAAAAAATATCTCAAAATCCATTAGAACCATATGACAGCAAATATCATGTAGAAATAGTTTCTACCCTAAAGAATAACTTCAAAAATTGTTTTAAGGATTTCAACGAAATGGCTTTAGTAGCGCAGTTTGTTGTTTCACCCTTTATGGAAATTGATATCCAACAGTTTGCAACTTGTGTTATGCAGAACTTTGGCGAAGACATCGCTGCAACAGAAATGGAAGTAATTGAGTTTCAAAATGATTTAACCTTAAAATCGTTAGTCTCAAGTACCAAATGTATCTGGCCTATTGTAAGTAAAGACAAATATTCAGTTCTATGCCGTATTGCCTTGAAAGTGAAAGCATTATTCAATTCAACCTATTTGTGTGAATCTTCTTTTTCCAATATGAAGTTTAATAAGAACAAATATCGCAATCGACTTACAGATGAACATTTGGATAATTGTATTCGAATGGCTGTATCAAATTATACTGCAAACATTAAAAAAATTATCGATGACTCTGAGTGTCAGCCTTCTCATTGAACGTGCTTTTTTATTTTTCAATGTTTATGTTCATGATAGTGCGTTACTTTTTTGTTGTTATTATTAACTATTTTTAAATCTTACGTGACATGCCGTTGTAGCTGGATAAAAGTTTGTGTTTATTTTTCAAACACCTTCGTTTGGTAGGTAGGAATGTAGCTATGAACAAGTACGTACTAGTAATTTTAGTTATTTTGTTATTAGTTTATTATTATTACCTATGTATTATGTATTACCAGTTAAATAGTAAAATAAATACATATAATGATAAATTAACTCTGGATTATTTCATTTACGTTGCGTTACGTGGCTTCGGTGTGGGTAGCTCGCTGTTTATTTCAAAATTAACAAAGTAGCTCAACACATTGAGAGGTTGGCGACCACTGCTTTAGACTGTTATTGATCTATGTTTTTAACTTTAAACACTACTTCCAATTAACCAACAATTTAAAAATTGTAATTTTTTGTTGAATAACCTCTTAAGTTACTCACAGTTAACTTTTTTTCCATAAAATTATTTTTCTTTTTCAGATGTTCGACTCACCGACCACCATTCAAAGAAAATGACTGTTCCAAAACGGAAGCAGCCCATTTACAACAAAGTAAAATTTAAATAAACCTTCCCTGTCGCCTTACCCTAGCAACCAAAGCAATAACCCTATTTTTAATCTAAAAAAAATAATGTCTAAATCACTAATCCTAATCATCGATCTAGATACAATAATGCCTGATCTAAACGACTCCATTTCTCCCAACATAGTATGACCCTTCTACCAAACAACCCATAAAAACCCTTCCCTTACCCAAAATGTTGCTCCCAGGTAACCTAACCAAGATAATTCTCGTACAATTTTGTTTATTGTTGACTATTATAAGAGGAGAAGACCACAGACCGCTAAAGGGGCGCGTATACTTCGCAATAGCAGCCACCCCGAGCGCACAGGGTTACTCCAGAGCATTCAACAAAACGATCATGAATATAACCTCGAACTTCTTGTTGGGAAAGAGCGGAAAAATCGGATTCAATATCAGCCTGGAGACCATAGTGATCGATCTGCCGGAAAATGGAAGTTTTAGTGCTATTTTATTGGAGGAAGTTTGTGCAAAGTTGGAGGGGAAACGCGTTGTGGCAGTTTTGATTATCGGCAATTCACCGGCGGCTTTTACCGTTTCGATAACGGCTAAACACGCTGCGATTCCCGTATTATGGGCCAGAGGACATGGACAATTTTTGCCCGGATTTAGGGGTTTGGTAAGTTTTATATCACTTTTACAATGTCGTTTTATTTGAATATAAATTATCAGTGCGATTCCTTATTTGAAAAGAACATATTATCTTAGAATAAACAACATGCATGGGCAGAAGATGCTTGTGTTAATAATAAATAACTATATTTTATGTCAAGAAAGTTACATATACGGGGTACTCGCGCGAAAATATTAAATGTAATTATATCTGGTGTTTTAAAAAATATCGACTTGAAATTTTGGAATGTTATTAGGACAAAAATGGAAAATTATTTGCATGTATAAGATACCACCCCAACGTAATATTAGCTGCTCCTAGCAATACCCGGTCCAAAAATTTGAATGACACCCTGTACTTTCTTGAATATTTTAAGAGAGCGTATTTTTTTTTGTATATATCTTAATTACATGATGAAATTTGTAAGATTATTGTTATAAAAACATACCAACAAACCATCTATAAATTGACACATTTTAACAACTTATAACTCGAAAACGGAAAAAGATATCGAGATGCAGTTTTCACTAGATCATTTACATTTACTTCAAGTTTTTCTTGACATTGTTGTCACATGTAATTTTTTTCTGGAAAGTGCCGAAAAAAAAAACGAACTTTTTTGAATCAAAATTGTGAGCTTATTTTAAATCGAACACCCTATAATTTTTAACATCCTCGGAAAGACCATTTCTTTCCCTTTCCAAAAATGTATTCATTGTAAGCATTTATTCAATTTTTTTGGGAAAAATTTACTTTTTTATAAAACTATGTCGATAACTTCTAAACGTAAAGTATCACAATTTAAAAGCCTTTAACTCGATAATGTGACAATTTATTGATAAGAGGTTTTGACTAAAATTCTGGGAAATGTTTAATTTTTTTATAAAATGGTTGTAAAGTCTCAAATGTCTAAAATTTTCGTAAAAGATTACTTTTACCAATTCAGATTAAGGGCTTATGATGAAAAAAATTCTTCGTATTTGTAACGTTTATTTGCAAGCCTTTATCCATAAATCATCATTTAAAAGAATATCTTAAGCGTTTTCAATATCTGTGTTTTTTTGTCTATTTAATATTCCTCTTTTTGTAAATTAACTTACTCAGCTTTGGATAGAATATGAATGAGTCAATAAATGATACTAATAATTTATCAAGGGTGCTATGTAAAACAAATAGAGTTGACAGAAGTCTATATTTGTATTAAATAGTGCAAGAGAAAGCAGGTATTAAAAAATGTTTAGCAAAAGTGAAAAAGCCCGGTGCATTTTACTTTATATTGAAAGTAGATCAATTACACATACACAAAGAAGATTTAGAAATATGTTTGAAAAAAATTCGCCAACCAGAAATTCTATTTTAAACTGGGTAAGTCAGTTTAAAGAAACGGGAACATTAGATATTATTTTAAATGATGTTATACAGATAAGGGAAATTTTAGCAAGAAACAATAATAAAATATCTATTAGAAAAATTGCCAAATCCATACATATGTCAAAGAGTAAGGTGCATAAAATTTTAAAAGTAATCAAGTTTAAAGCATATAAGGTTCAGACTTTTCATAAAATTGAAACTCATGCATTTGAAAAGAGAGTTTTTATGTGTGAGACGTTATTAAATTTATTTAGACATCAACCGAATGTAAATCTAATAATGTCAGATGAAGCAACGTTTCATTTAAGTGGACGCGTAAACAAACACGATTTTGGTGAAAACCTTTTATCAATACATTGCCTTACTCCCAAATTATAAGTTAATTAATTGTGATACTTTACGTTTGGAAGTTATTGACATGGTTGCATAAAAAAGTGAATGTTTCCCTAAAAAATAGAGTAAATGCTTACAATGTATACATTTTTAGAAAGGGGAAGAAATGGTCTTTCCGAGGATGTTAAAAATTATAGGGTGTTCTATTTAAAATAAGCTCACAATTTTGGTTCAAAAAAGTTCGTTTTTTTTTCGGCACTTTCCAGAAAAAAATTACATGTGGCAACAATGTTAAGAAAAACTTGAAGTAAATGTAGAAGGTCTAGTGAAAACTGCATCTCGATACCTTTTTTAATTCTCGAGTTATAAGTTGTTAAAATGTGTCAATTTATAGATGGACACTCTGTATTTCGGAATATCCTTTTTTTGTACACGAGTGCATTCTATTGATTTCTGCACTGTAAATTCTCAGTACTTGCTTCTAAAATTGTTACCGCGAGTTAGGATCGAAGAAATTCCTCGATAGATCAAACGAAATAATTGAACTTAACTTTTTCTTGAATAAAGAAGAACTACCTTATTTAAAAATTTCAAATCATCCCCTCAAGATTTTAATAGATACAGGTGCTACAATATCCTGAAATTGCATTCAAACTATACAGAGAAAAAAATTTTTAGAGAATTATTAATTGTTTCATTCGTTTATCAAACTTCTACTCATCAAAATTGTGCAAATACTTTGATATTTCCAGACTAATAGGTCTGAAGGAATTAAAATTACTCAACGCTTCTAAATTCAAAATTAATTATCACTAGAGCTAGGAATATATGCAAAACGCCATATTTTGCATATGTTGCATATATATACAATTTTTTATTTTGAATGCATATATTGACATTTTGTTAATTTTTTGGCATATATTTGACGTACAAATTGGCTGGACATATTAAAATTATGAGTTTTGGACCAAAATAATATTTTGTGAAATGCCTTTATAGGTCGATTTCCTAAAATTTTGAAGGATTAACTTTTCCCTGTAATAAATTACGGTTAATGGTGTAGGTACTTGAGAGGATTAAATTATAAACACCCTCCTTAAACCAACAAATTTTGCTAAATATCCTTTCAGGTAGTTGTAATAATATCGCTTCAAAGCAATTAGATAAAACAAATAACTTGACAATAACTCGTTTTATCCAGACAGAATTGTCTTCCTTTTTTCTTCCGGAAGCCGTTCCAACAGAAAAATGTTTATTGCTGTTATCCGATGCTGTCCCGTACATGGTAAAAGCCGCACAAAATTTAAAAATGTTTTATGAAAACTTAATCCATGTTACATGTTTGGTTCATGGCCTTAACAGAATTGCAGAAGAAATTAGGTCTAACTTTCCTTTAATAAATGATTTAATTAGTAATGTAAAAAAATATTTCTTAAAGCTCCTCTAAGAACTCAATTGTACAAAGAAAAATTTCCATAATTACAGATGCCACCGGAACCTGTGATTACTCGGTGGGGTATCTGACTTAAAGCTGCCTTTTTTTACGCAGATAATTATGAAAAAATTAAAGAAATCATATTTGATTTTGATGATTCATCTAAGGGAATATCTAATACAAAGAAGTTGTTTCAAAATCACATATTACCAAAGCAATTAGTGTTTTTAAAAAATTATGCATTTGTACCCAAAATTATATTAGATTTAGAACAAAAAAAATTTACCTTTGGTGACTTCCGTAAATTTAATTAAGACGTTTGAATCAGAGTGTAAAAATGTCCAGAGCCATATTGGAAAGACGATTTTTCATAAATTTTCAAATGTAATTTTAAAAAATGAAGGATTTATTGTTTTAAGAAACCTTGCTAATATTTATTCTGGTAACTTTGAAGATATTAATACTATTCATCCAGATATTTCAGGAAAATTTAAGTTTGCACCTATTACTTCTGTAGATGTCGAAAGGAGTTTTTCTTTGTACAAGTACATACTTACTGATAGGAGACAATCATTTAATACAGATAATTTAAAAGAACATCTAATTGTTCATTCGTTTTATAATAATGTTGATTTGTAAATAAAATTAGTTAATAATTAAATAATAATTATTAAGTATTATATTAGGTATTTTAAAATAAAACAAATAATAAATATTAATAAACTATTTCGATCAAATATTAAATTACTCTTATTGCATATGCTCTGCATATTTTTCAATTTTTTACGCATGAAGTATTTTGCGGCATATGGGTGGCCACTTTTTCATTGAAATGTATTGCTATCTCGTAAACCGTTGGTAACACAAAGTTGGTTAAATAGGGAAAAAGTTGCATATTTCGAAGTCCAATCTGAGGGCGTTTTGAAAACTAAAATATCAGGTCCGGTTTCCGAGATATTCGATAAAAAACAAATAAGTACCATTTCTTTATTCCGCTACAGAACGTTTATTTGCAAAAATAGACAAAAACTCATTTGGAGTTTTTTGTTTTATATCAAATTGTGCGTATGATAGCGTATTTAGTTTTTTTATCCGACGTTTCGTAAATGCAGGACCACCATCAACTTCTTTATTTGAATATGGACCAATATTTTCCTGGCTCATAATTTTAATGCATGTTCAATGTTGAATACAATGATGTAATAACATATTGTGATTAGTCATCATTTCGGAAGATTTGAACATCATCAGGTAAGTTTACAAGTACGGACCTGTGTTTTGTTAGTTAAAAATATTTGAATTAGTACATGATGTATTATCGTTGTAAGAGATTATAAATAATAAATACCAAAGTCAAACTTTTAACTTTACATCAAGACAACATGTTCGTTTACACATTTGCTAAAAAATATTTTCCATTTTTATGGTTTTTGCACTTGACCAATCCCAATATTAATCTATAAATAAAGTACATCCCGATTTTTAAATACATAAAGTTAGCCTGATTTGTCATATTTTGTTGGATTTTTTAAACTGATATGGTTCCTCATAGTATAAAAAAGAAAAAGTTAACAAACTGCAGATAGATACCTACTTACAATAATAATTGTATATCTAGCAACACGTCTTGATTATTATACAGATGAATTTAAATCAAGTTAACCTGGCATGTCACATTTTATTATTGTATATTCGTCAGTCTGGTATCGGATAAAAGCATTGGTATATTTTTAATTAGGGTATTGAAAATATGGTTCGTTACAGTAGAAGTGAGAAAAAAGATATGTACGATGTGTACATAAAATGTAACAGAAATAGTGGAGAAGCTGCAGAAAGATACCTTCAGTTGTATCCAGGAAGGAGGCAA